AAAAGTATGACAAATGATTATTAATGTGATACTCATCTTTAAATATTAATTGTCATGTCGCGTGATGTCAGTATTATGGCCTGTCGAGATTTTGGATGTCGGGATTTCCTACTAGACCCTGTTATATTGAGGTTAGATCAATTTGATTTGGCGGTTTATATTGAATCCTTCCCGGGAAGAGAGGAGCCTAGATGCGTTTATTATAAAATTTTAAAGAAACTTACTTCGAAAAACTTCCGAAATAATCCGTAACAATATCAAATTTTCTGAAACCTTGTATATACTTGATTTTTTTTCACTGAGACAGTAAGAGGGTGAGGAAGGATTGTAGAAGAGGGAGAAGATAATATAAACTACAGAATCAAGCTGGCCTTTCCTTACAATTAAATCTGCATCAAATTACTGCAGATATATACTTACCTTATTATATATAATACGCTTTATACATTATTTTTTTTAGATATCCATTACAATTTGTAAAAGATGCTTCAGAATCTATATAACGTCTCAAAAACATCAAGGCTTCAATATTTCAGAACTTCAAGATATATGCTGACCATATTTAATCGTAATTATGTAACTCAACCTCAAGTGACGAGAGATTTGCAAAATTTAAATCACGTTGAAATTGATGGTGAAGGTCTAACCATTGAAAATGTGATACAGGTGTCTCGTTTTCATCGTGAAGCTCGTCTCACTACTAATAACGCCATTAGAGATAAAATAACAAGCTCGAATAATTACGTTAACAATGCTATCGCTGAAGGAAAGATTATCTACGGGGTTAATACTAATTTTGGTGGCATGGCCAAAAAACATCTACCAATTGAAGAACTTAACTTGCTCCAAAAAAATTTAATTTGGGGTTGCAAATGTAGTGTTGGTAAACAATTACCTGTAGAACATGTTAGAGCTAGTATGTTAATACGAGCTAATGCTCTTATGCGAGGTGTATCTGGGATTAGGCTCGAATTAATTGAAAGGTTGATAAAGTTTTTAAATGCTGATTTAATTCCCGTCGTACGCGAATATGGCTCAGTTGGTGCAAGTGGTGATGTAGTTCCCTTAACAAACATTGCTGGTGTTATTATTGGATTAGATTCTTCTTTTAAAGTTAATTATTTAGGGAGTGAGATAGATGCTCTTAGTGCACTCTCAAAGTTAGAATTAAAACCAATTACACTTGGTCCAAAGGAAGGTCTGGCTCTTATCAATGGTACTTCATTCTCAACTGGTATTGCAGCACAATGCATTTACGAAGTTGATCGCTTATTTTCATTAGCACTACATCTTCATTCATTCTTTGTTCAAGCACTCCAAGGGTCTAGTTTACCTTTTGATCATTTTATTCATAAACATAAGCCTCATGAAGGACAAATACGAGTAGCAAGTGAAATGACAGAATTAATCCATGGCTCAAAATTTTTAGATGATAACATTAGCACAATGAAAGGAGGTGTACCCAAGTTGGTTCAAGATCGTTATTCATTAAGAGGTATACCTCAATACCTAGGAGTAGTTGTTGATACTTTCACCCAAGCAAAAAAGTATATAGAAACCGAAATAAACTCAGCCAGTGATAATCCATTAATTGATGCCGACCAGCAAAAATATTTTCATCAAGCAAACTTTATAGGACAATATATTGCCTATGCAATGGACCAAGTAAGACATGGTTTGGGTCTTATAGCAAAACATATTGATACACAAATCGCGTTAGTAGTAACACCA